CAGGTCCGCACGCAACCGTCCCCTCACGCTTCCTTTAGCGGCTCCCCTCTCCCGCCATTCGCTCTAAGTCCTTCCGGGGCCAGGAGATAGCGACACCTCTTCACCAGCCACAGCCCGGGGCTGCGAGCCACGCTAGGAGGCGGGCGGTCAGGGAGGGACGCTGTAGCCCCCGCCTCAATTTCAGCCCCTCTCTTGGCGCGAGGGCGGGCTCTCTGGTTTCCCGGCGTCCCTTCCGCTAAAAGTCCCAAAGACTTCCGGTGCGGGTGGACGTCGCCGGCGGTCCTTCCTACGTAAACTCCGGGCGGGGCGTGCGGGAGCCTGGGTGGTGAACTGTGTTAATTTTTAGGCGGAGACTGTTCAATGAAGAAAGACCTGAGGAAGGATCAGGACAGGCAGGTACGTGCCCACAGAAGTGCCACTTCCGGGCCTTTGCCTCCTCGGGAAAGCCGGACGGAGAGATGGGCCCTTGCCCAGCGCGCCATCTTGATAAATGGCACCATTCATCCGATTGCTTAATCCAAAAACGTTGGTAGGAGTCGTTCCTTGGTCCTCCTTTTCCTTCACTTCCTACATAACAATGACCCTGTAGACCCTGTCGGCTCTACTTTAAAAACAAATCTAGACTCGGGCCGCCTCACTCCCTTGTTTACAGCTCGCCTGTGACTTGCCTGTGCAAACTCCGCATCGTTACTTCCTCTCTCATCTCTGTGCTCCAGCCACTCAGACTTTCTTCCCGAACCTCCCATAAGCCAAGCTTGTTCCCACCTTAGGAAATGATTCTCACTCTTTATTTGCCTGCAGACCTGCTGCTAACTCTGCATGGATGGCTGCTTGTCACTTTAGGTTTCAGCGCAAGCATCAGGTCCTTGGTGAAGCCTTCTCTGGCTACCCAGTCACTTTTAATTCGCGTATTGTATATGCTGACATTCAGCGCCTCCTGTGTGCCAGCAGTGTTCCAGAGGCTGAGGATGCAGAGGTGAACAAAGGAAAACCCCTGCCTTCTCGGTGTTGGTGACCACCCGGGAATGGACAGTGCCATCAGAGGCAGCGAGCCAGCGGACAGTAGTCATGGGAGAGGAGAGCCATGGTGGGAAGGGCGTTGCAAGGACTTTGGAGTTTATCTGAGCAAGTTGAGAAGCCTTTGGAGACTGGTCTGACTAGTTTTTTAATACTTGCCTTTCTGGCTCTTACATGAGGAGGCCAGTTAGTCTCCTTCAGTAATTCACTCAAGAAATGAGGGGGGCTTGAATGGGGTTGGTAGTGAAAGTGGTGTAAAGTGATCTGATCTGATTGTATTTCAGAAACAAAGTTGGGAGGATTTTCTGAGGGGCTGCGAGATAGTGTGAAAGAATAAGGAGTCAAGAAGAAGCCCAGAGATTTTTTTTTCTCTGAATAACAGAAAGACTAGAAATGTCGTTTATGCAAGCAAGGAAGACTGGGGGGAAACAAGCGTTTGGTTTTGAACAGCCTGTTAGCCTTCCCGCCGAAGCTATCCAGTAGACAGTTGGATGTGTGGACTTGGAGTTCAGGAGAGAGGCCCAGCCTGGGGATATAAATTTGGGGTCAGTTAGTGTATAGTATTCTAAACATAAATTCCCCTTTATTTATGATTGCTTACCTTTTTCAAATATTTACACAATATATGAAAGAATTAAGAACCCCCATGTATTTTAATAATCAGCTTCAGCAATTCCCAACTAATGACCAATCTAGTTTTACATGTATTATCACAGTTATTCTCAGGAAATTTAGTTTTTAAATTCTTGGGACTAGATGAGATCACCTGGAGGGCAAGTGTAGATAAAGTTCAGGATGGAGGGTAAGGAGAATCCCCAGCAAATGAAATTGAGAAGCAGCAGCTCTTATCACTGACAGTTTCATGTTTTTAAATGTATTTACTTATTTAGTGTCTCTCTGCTCTTACTAGAATATAAGCTTCAAAAGAGCAGGGATAGTAACTGTTTCCATTAAGACCGGCATCCGCAACACTGTTCTATGTGCCGGGCATAGAATAGTTAAGAATGTCTAAAGGCGAAAGCTGAAAAGGATTTAGAGTGAGGGGAGGTCATTTTGGGACGGTGGGTAAGGTATGTGTGGAGACTGTAAGGCAGGGAAAGGCATGAGTATTTGTGGGACTAGGCAAAGCCCGTTGTATCCAGAGCGGGTTACATGAGGGAGAGTGTTGTCTGAAATGAGCCTAGATTAGTAGGGGAATTAACCCCTTCCCCGGCAGAAACGTGTATACTCGTTTTCACAAAATGTTCTTTTTCAGTCGTTGATGAGTATACTAAGAAAATATGGTAAAAAAATATGGTTTATAGGAAGACGAGTTACAAACTGTTTTCATAACCAGCATCAAAAATACTATATAGAACCAAAATAAAAAAATTAGTCTGAAAAAGAAACGTTTTTAACAAAAAAATTGTTGGGGAAGGGGTTAAGGATTACATATTCCTTTCCAGTCCTCAGTACATCCCTGCAAGGTAGATGCTGTCATCACATTTTAGAAATTAGGGAATTAGAGAAGTTTAATATCTTGCCCAGGTTCACATACTTGCACTCCGCTACACCATGATCCAAAGCCAATGTCTTTCCCAGTGTTTCATGTTGCCTCTTTGTTACCTGTAACATTTGCTTTATAAAAGAAAGAATGCAGTATGTTGGTTGTAGTGTGTCCGTTTTGACAAGATTTGGCCACAGTAGCAATTTGTATATTTCTTCTGGCTCACTAAAATAGGTTTCTCTGGGTAATTATTTCTTCTAAGAAAGGGAATTTGCATAGCTTAAACATACAGGGGACAAGAAAAGAACAAAGTGGTTATAACTGAAGTTATTAGCACACAGCTTGGTTGTACCGGTGCTTTTTTGGCATCAACTTACCGTAAGTTTGCATGGCTTGCCCTTTAATTCAGGTTTTTGCTCAAATGCTGCTGCCTCAGACTTTACTTACCCTCTGTATTTTAAAGATCCCCTCCATCACCCTGGCTCCTTACTCTGTTTATTTGTCTTCGTAGCCTTTTTACCATCTGACTTTAAAAAAAATAAAATTATTTGCTTACCTTCTGTCTCTCCCCATTGGAATGCAAACTCTAAGAAAGTAGAGACTTTTTCTTTTGCATTCACTGCTATGTTCCCAGTATCTAGAACAATGCCTGCTAAATAAATACTGTTTATTTATTTATTTTTTTTAAATATATTTTATTGATTTTTTACAGAGAGGAAGGGAGAGAGATAGAGAGTTAGAAACTTCGATGAGAGAGAAACATCGACCAGCTGCCTCCTGCACATCTCCCACTGGGGATGTGCCCGCAACCCAGGTACATGCCCTTGACCGGAATCGAACCTGGGACCTTTCAGTCCGCAGGCCGTGCTCTATCCACTGAGCCAAACCGGTTTCGGCATAAATACTGTTTATTGAATGACTGAGTGAATGAATGGATAGCTTGGGCTACGAGGCCCATGCTCATTTGCATGCTTGATTAACTACAAGTTTACTTCAAGTAGGAATCAAAGACTTGGACAATGTTGTTTCTCCCTTGCTCACTTCCTAGGAGATAGTTAACTGAAAGGAATCTGCCCCACTGCTACAACCAAACCAGATGCCTTCTTCGACTTCACCAGACCAAGGGGATGACCTGGAGGCCTGTCTTTTAAGATTTTCAGACTTGGATTTGAAAGACACAAGTATTATCAACCCCAGTAGCAGTCTTAAAGCAGAGCTAGATGTCAATACAAAGAAGAAATATTCATTTGCAAAGAAAAAGGTAAAATTGCTAAAATCACTGTTGATGTTTCAGGATCATGTGTGTATAGTCAATGCATGTAGATCTGGAAGTAGGTCATCAAGGTTGTCCTCCAGGGAGTGGAGGGATAGTGAGACACTAGGCTGTTGACCTGCTCAAAGTAAGGTCTGGTCAGCACCATTACCAGTGATCTTAATTCAGTGCCAGGCAAAGGAGAATCATAGGCAAAGTGTGGCTCTGGAACATGTGTGGTGGGGTATAGGTCCTAGACAGATGGGTTAGATTCCTTTCTCCTCCCAGGGTTATGGGAGGAAACTCAGGAGACCAACTCATAGGGAGAATAGATAGGCAGTAGGGCAGCTTCTATCTGAAACTCCTGATCTAATCCAGCTGATGTAAAGCTTACTAACAAAACTGTTACTCTTCCACGTTCTTCTACCAAATAGTAGGATACAAACTGGAAACCCCTGTGGAAAAATAATAGAAGAAACTTCACTGAGGCTCCCATTAGCCTCAAACCTAAGGTTATTTCACAGTGACAATTTGAAATGTAATTGCAGGCATTTGCCCTTTTTGTCAAAACCAAAGAAGTTCCAGCACCGTCTTATAAATGCAAAGAAATATGGTGGAAATGCTGTCAGCAGCTGTTCACGGGCCCCACTGGCATCCACAGACACGTGGCGGCACAGCACGCTGATGAGGTTTGGCACCAGACTGCTTCTGTTTTGAAGCAGCTCGCTGTGGCATCGAGCACCTCAAAGAGCCTTAAGTCTGCCGACAAAAGGAATCCACCGAAAGAATGCCTTACTCGAAACCATGACATGTCTGCTTGGCTCCCTGACATTAGTTGCTTTAGCCCTGATGAGCTGATAAGGTAAGAATTTCATTCTGTACTTTTGGTTTAATTTAAAACATGTTTTTTCAGCCACAGTGAGATACCATTAAAATGGCAAGATCTTAAAGGCACAGAATTTCTCTACAGGCCTAAGCAAGGGTGACAAACATGTATTGTGTGTAATAGAAGATTATAGTCAATGCAGTAGCATGTACCCACACAGCTGGTAATGTTGCCAGATTTCTTGAAAGCCATTGTGCATCTTATCTTTAGGGAGAAGTAAAGAACAGAAAATTATATTATTTTCAAAGAGAATAGGAAGACCCAGAAACGTTAATGATTCCTCTTCCCTGAATAATATTAGAGCTTAAAAAGGTTTTTTGTTACCAAATGTGGCTTTCTGAGCTGAATATGCTTTAGAAAGGATGTTAACTTTTAGAACTGAAGCATAGGATTAAGAGGTTTAGACTCTGCCTTTGAAAAACTTACCAAATCACACTACAGAATTCTAGAGGACGGATTTCTGGTTTTAAGCAGTTCCTGAATTTGGTGAATAGAAAATGTTCAAGTCTGATATTATTTTATCACTAGTATTTAGTGCCAAATTCACCTTGTTTATCAGAAAGAAAAGGAGAAAGGAAGAGAATTGAATTTGGAGTCAGACTTGAGCAAGTTGCTAAAATTTGTTGTGCCTTCATTTCCTTGCTTTTAAAATTGGAATAATGTCTGCCCTGCACCATACAGTATTGCTGTATGGGCTCTATAAAATGATGGTGGTACAAGCACTTGTGAACTCTAAAGTGCTATATAAATGTGGCTTTCTCATTTAGCTATGGCCCTGCACTTCAAGGAATTTGCTTTCTAGTTAGAAAAACAAAGAAAAGTGCATGAAGCAATTAGCAGATGATATGAGACAGGCTATATAGTTATTAGTTAAATTGTACCTGTATGGTTCAAATAATTTGTTACAGGAGTTTAGAGAAAAGAAAATAGATAGGCTCTGAACTAGAGAAAAGGCTTTGGAGGAAGCTGAAATATGATGAGGGTATTGAAGAGAGATTTAGATTCCAGAGCTGGATGGGACCTTAATTATCATCCACTATAGCATTCTCTAAAGTACATCTGTGCAACATTATTGTGGAGGATGCTATCAGGTACTGAAAAGAGGTACTAAAGACAAATATGTTGGGGAAGCACTAGTTTAAAATGTTCTTTATTACAGGATTTCTCAAAGCACACTTTTGGGAAATGCCACTTATTTCATTTCTCCAGTTTTACAGATGAGGAAATCAAGGCTCAGAAATGATAAGTGACCACCCAGATCTCACAAGTTAGTATAAGACAGCACAGTGCAATAGAAAGGGTATGGGTTCTAGTGTCAGAAATCTGGTGTTTTGAGTCCTGATTGTCACTTGTAGTTGTCTCACCTGGAAGGAATTGACTTCAGTTTACTTAGCTGTAAAGTACAGATATGGTCTTCTTTAGAGCAAATACAGACAGACAGGAGTTGCTTCTCATTCTAGGAGAACAATAGTGGGTGCAAAGGCAGGCGTGAATTGCTCCACCTAGGCTTTCCCTGCGATGCTGCCTAGTTGTACTTTATGAACTTAGGCCAGTGATTCAGATGCACCTTCTCTGTTGTTTTCTTTTTACAGTGGTGAGGGCAGTGATGAAGGAGAGGTGTTACTTTATTACTGCTATCGTGACTTGGAGGATCCCCATTGGATCTGTGCCTGGCAGACAGCTCTGTGTCAGCACCTGCACCTCACAGGCAAGGTAACACTTTCTTCCATATCCATCCTTCACTAGGCTGCTCTGGCCTCCAACTTGGATTGCAGAGGCTGTGCTCTTTATTTTTATTGACTTCAGAGAGGAAGGGGGAGAGAGAGAGAGAGAGAGAGAGAGAGAGAGAGAGAGAGAGAGAGAGCTTTTTATTAATTTCAGGGAGGAAGGGAGAGGGAGAGAGTGATGGAAACACCAATGATGAGAGAGAATCATTGATTGGCTGCCTCCTGCATGCCCCCTACTGGGGGTCGAGCCCACAACCCAGGCATGTACCCTTGACCGAATCGAACCTGGGACCTTTTCAATTCGCAGGCCGTCGCTCTGTCTACTGAGCCAAACCAGCTAGGGCCCAGGCTGTGTTCTTTACAAAAAGATTTGCTGTTGAGTTGTTAGAAATTAGCAAAGTCCTGTGAGGCATTTAAGTAGAATACTAAGTAGCTATTAACATGGTGTTTTATAAGAATATAGAATGGCATAGACCAGGGGTCAGCAAACTTTTTCTTAAAGAGACAAATAGTTAATATTTTGGGATTTGCACAAAGAAACTACTCAACCCTGCCGTTGTAACACGAAAACAACTCTAGATAAATAGGTAAATGGATGGGTATGCCTATGTTCTTTCAAAACTACATGCAAAAGCAGGCAAAATTTTCCTTGGCATCGGGAGTGTTCTTGGTATAATACCTAGAAAAACATTTTATAGAACTATGCATAGAGGTGTGATTCCAAGTTTCTTCTTAATTTTCCTAGAACATGCCAGGGCCTTTACCATTTCATGGTACTGACAATTTGCTATTTTCTTTCCCTCTAGAATGCTTTTTCCCTAGATCTTCACATGGCTCACTCCTCACTTCAAATCTCTGCTCAGATGTTATCTCCTCAGAACTCTAATCTGAAGAGGTCCTTTTTGTAAGCCTCATCTTTCTATCCCTTCTAGTCAAAGAATTTACTACTGTATGAAAGAATAGTCTTTGTTTAATTTGTTATATCTGTCCCTTATAGAATGTAAACTTCATGAAGACAGGAACTTTGTCTTAATTGATGTATTGTCAGTGCACAGGGCTTAGCACATAGCAGACAGTGTATGTTCAGAGAATGTTGAGTAAAGGATTGAATGTATGTAACAAAACCACAAGTGTTTGTGTGTATAAAGATGGAGAGTAGTAGACATCAAAGTGTTGATTATGACTCTCTACCAGAGGATTATGGGTGGATTTTCCTTTTTAAAAATATCCTCGATGATGACATATCTATACATGTGTATGTATATTATATATTTTTTAAAAATTTAAATAAAAAGTAAGTGAATTAGGTTCCCTCTGGGATCCCTTCTGGTTATGACGCTGTGCTGTCTGTCTAATCTTTTCTACACATGTCCCAGGTTTTAATTCCCTTTGGCAATCATTTGATCAGTCAGTGACATTTTCCACATCCATGTTTTCTAACAAATAGTGGACTGAAAGCTTCATTGACCTCATGCAGTTCATCACCCAGTCCTGCCGTTTCTACCTCTAAAATGTCCCTTGAATCAATTCACTCTGTCCTCCACTTACCACTTTAGACCAAGTTCACCCTCTTTTACCTGGTCCATTTCAATAGCTTGCAAACTATTCTCCATTCTTCTGTCCCTGCCTGTCCTGTAAGCTAGTCTTACACAGCAGCCAGAATGATCTTCAAAGGTAAATAAAATCATGTTAGCCTCCTCAAAATCTTTCAGTGGCTATCCAGTGCATTTAGTGTAAAACCCAAATTGTTAACATGCCCTTAGGTTCCTGCATGATTTGGACCCTTCTTACCTTCTTTCCGCTTATCTGATACTATCCTTCTTTCAGTTTCTTGGAGCCCACAAAACCTTTTTGTGTTTTTGGGCCTTTTTATAAGAAAAGTCTTTAAGGAACTCTCCCATACTCAGTTTCTCCTGTGTAGTTTTCCCCTCAATCTTCACTTCTCAAAGAGATCTTTCTTGACCTTCAATCAATTTCATTTTTCCAAATATACTCTCATATAGCATCTTTTTAAAAAATTTCTTATAGCATCTTGCAGTTATTTTTATAGCGCTTGTCAATTTGTATCTTTTATCTTAATATCTGTGACCTCCCTTAGTCTGTAAGCTCCAAGAGCGCAAGAACTGTATTTTTTTCCAACCACTCTATCCCTAATTCTTAGTACAGTCCCTTGTGCATAGTAAAAAACTTAGTAAACATTTATGGACTGAATACATTTGTCACCATCTCTATTTAGCGATCATCTTAAAAGGTGGGTAGTCTCACAGTAACACTGAATGTACAAAATATGAAATCAATCTCTTTCCTTGGTTTAGGGACAGATTTTTATTCTTGGCCCAGCCTGAGATGAACTAGCAGTGAGGGTCCCTAACCACAAGGTGGCAGTACCTGCCTAGATTGTCGGTCTAAATTCTAAGGTTTCCATGATACATGATACATGATGTCCAGTTTACTGAGATAGTTTTCTGCTGGTAGGAGACTTGTCAAAATACTGGCATTTAGGTAGGAAAGAGGAGAACTTGAAAATTCTGGAATTATGGAAGGAAGCTTCTTGTCCCTATTGCTATACATTCATTATTCCCGAAAGATACATAAGGGAATGCATTGGAGTCTTGGGAAAGGAAAAATTAAGAGATTTAGAGCCAATAAGATCTGGCTAATCTTTCCCACACATGTCCCAGGTTTTAATTCCCTTTGGCAATCATTTGATCAGTCAGTGACATTTTCCACATCCATGTTTTCTAACAGATAGTGGACTAAAAGCTTCATTTACCTCTTTCTGGTTTTGAATCCCAGATCTACAGCTACCAACCTGTGCTCTTGGACAAATTACTTGATTTTCCTGAGCTTCTGTTTCCTTCTCTGTTGAGTGGGGATTATGACATCTCCCTTTCAGGACTTTATTATAAAGCTCCTGTCTCATAGTAGGTACTCAGTAAATGGTAATTGTTGCTCTTTATCTCTGAGGTTTAAGGCCTTTCTCACCAAGGAGCTACTTTGAAAGTTTCTGTTAAAGAATCCTAGTGGTTGAAAGTCTAGCGGATGAGTTTAGAGACTGTTCTGCCCCAACTGTATAGGGAGTAGATGTGCTTGTTTTTATTTGGGTTCTGAGATTTAAAATAACAGGAAAGAACATACTAATCTACCCAAAAGACAGTTATGTAGAAGTATGTACCTCTTCATCATACTGTCACAGTAATAACAGCTTTAAGGTAGAGTTCCTGACTCATACTGGTTTAGTTCTTTTTCTGTTTAATCCCTTAAAAATATACAAGTTGAATCACCTAATCAAAAAACTCTCTCCAAATATGGTTTAGAGAGAAGTTTCAGGTTTAGTGGGAGAGTAGGTAGTTAATATTACTCATAGTAAAAATAAATAATGTTTACACTTTAAACATTGATCCATCAATACTGTTAGACATACACAGCAATGAACATTCATTTTTAATGATCTCTACCCTTTTCATAAGTTTATTAAAATAACAAGTAGTAAAAATGTAGTATTGTATTACTATTATTAATACAATAGTAATAGTTATCTCAATTTTGAAATAAAGCCTAATTAATAAATAATTTTGTTAAATTGGAAAAAAGTGTGTATATATATATA